CTCAAGGCAAAAGGTTAATTTCAACCCAAATTTAATTAGAACATATAATAAAATATGAATTCTGTTTATTCCAAAACTAAAAAATAGCTTGATTTTTGCACACATTGAGTTAGAAATATTAAAATGTTATTTAATTAATGAGATTGTGATTGTTGTTTCACATAAACATCTTCTTCATATTCATAATAACTTAATTATTTCATAAAATTTATATAAGTGTCGTAAATAATAGTATATATTCATGTAATATTTATTAAATTATTTATTTCTATTAGATTCTACAATTTATATTGCAAATAAAACAAAGAGAGGTAAAATTTGGCATAGGACTTTTCCACTTTGGATATAATACCATTCGTAAGGTATGTTCTACATTGAATAGAAATATTATATAATATACTTATAAGCTGTAACAGAAAGTACACATTAATTGAACAAACACGTAATCTTCCGCAAGTTACATACATATCTAAGGATTGATTGCACCAACGTGATTTCGATTTTAAGCGAGACTTAAACTGTCTTTGACTCTGTCTCTCTTTCGGCTTTAATACGAGAGAGATAGAGTTTTAATATCAATTAATGTTGGTGCAACCTTGCCTAAATACTATAATTTTTAAATCAATTCTCATTTAACTGTTTACACATATTTTATTTTATTCATATTTCATATATTCAATGTCTACCTAGACAGTACACAATATTTATAGAATTTGCAAATTAATATTTGTATGATTTATTTTTAATATTTTATAAATGTTTTGTAGCATTAAATTACATTGGTCATAGATATTTATTCTAAAAATTATGAAATATTTATCGTATTAATTGTAGTAAATCTTGTGAAAAAACTTAATAAGACACTATAATGAAAGTAAAAAGTATTTACTATAAATATTTACCTATATATTTCATCATAAATATTATATAATATTTAATTTACATTTTATTAATTACGTTTTCAAATGGAGCTTATATAAAAAATATATATATATCAAATTTAAAAAAATATATTACATAATTATAAATATATAGGGTGTAACTAAAAAAACGTATATGGAGCATACTATGAAATACAGGACAGCAATTCAAGTAGAAAAATCCTGAGTTATTTTTTGATCTGAGTTTTCAGTTCGTTGTTATACGATGTCAAAGTTAGCGAATTAACAAGTATAGAAAAAAAACAGGAACATATAACAAGGCGGAGTGGAGCTAACGAATTCACGACGGGAGAACGACGGTGACCACAGTGAAGCGGTTGTATAATTATCAATTTCTCTGTCTCTCTCTCCCCCCTCCCTCTCCCTCCCCCTCCCCCTTTTCCCCCTCTCCCACCCTCTTTTCCACCTTATTTAAAGAAATGTTAAAGATCAGAGAGAAAGAGAGAGAGAGAACAGTCTTATTATAATTTTAATGAAGTAAATAACCAATTAGTTCATCCTAAATCGATAATTTTTTATAAAAACATCAAATCATTAATTTTAACTTTGCATTTTCTGATCTTTAATATTTCTTTAAACAAGGTGTAGAGAGAGGGAGAGGGAGAGGAGAGACAGAGAGAGAAAAAGAGCGAGAGAAATTGATAATTACAACCGCTTCGCTGCAGGGCGCTAATTCACTAATTTTGACATCATAACAACGAACTGAAAGCTCTGCAGATCCAAAAATGACTCAGAACTTTTCTACTTGGATTCTTGTCCTGTGTTTCATGGTATGCTTTATATATGTTTATTTAGTTACTCCCTATATAGTAATAAATACTGAGTATAATATTATGTGCTGTTAGTGTAATTAATTCTTTTACGTGAATTGTTTTCAATTTAACACAAATATTGTTATCGGATATAATAAAAAAGAACTTTTTTCAGATGTACAGTGCAATTTTGGCCTTCCTGATGGTTTTAATACAGGTACTTGATTCAGATTTTCTATTGTCTCTAATACATATAAATAAATGTTTGGTTATTAAACTTAATATATCTCCCAGGTCAAAAACTAATTGAGCTATACTAGTTGTTAGAAATATATATAAATTTATTATTAATAATTACATCGGTATATACGGAAAAGTTTCGACTTCACAGAGTCCTCAACAATCGCAACCGAATTCTTAAAAATTAATTAATTTTTTTTTTATATTATTTTTTATTTTTTTTTGGTATATTGCGAAGAATATCACAAGTCGGCGTTTCGTCGCAATATACCAAAAAAAAAATAAAAAATAAAAAATAATATATATAAAAAAAAAATTAATTAATTTTTAAGAATTCGGTTGCGATTGTTGAGAACTCTGTGAAGTCGAAACTTTTCCGTATATACCGATGTAATTATTAATAATAAATTTATATATATTTCTAACAACTAGTATAGCTCAATTAGTTTTTTACCTGGGAGGTATATTAAGTTTAATTTGAAATTTATTTGAGCGGATATCAATTTAATTTAATGTTTGGTTATCATTTAATATCAAATGTATTAAATGCATTTTGGTTAACCTTTATGCCCATACTTTAAAAAAATTACAGTTTATAATTTCATTCTATGAAAAACGAAACGACAGCATTGTAGTGAAAAATTTCATTTTAACACTTAAAATTGTAAACATATTAACTTCCGAAAATGAGTTTTTTTACTTATATAATTTCAACTTTTTAAATTTATAATTTTTTATAGTTTTTATTGTAGCCTAATAATCTGGAGATTTACATTATGCACGGATCATTTTGACCCGTTTTATAAAAATTGTTTTAATATTTTTCAGATGGATTTAGTAGATTGGTGGTTGTAATACATTTTCTTGATTAACATACATATGACACGATTGACTATAAATCGGCAATTATACGGACGACAAGGAATTTTAATTTACTTACCTAAAAAAATTTATTTACTAAAAGATATAATAGTGCCTCTCGCCAAATGAACGCGAAGCGCAAAGCCGCACACCGTTTCTTTACGCGAGTCGATGAGTTGCAAGCACCTCAAATTATCGGATCTCTCAATAAACGGCTGAATTAATCGATTCTTCTCAGTATTCTCAATTTACTATTTATAGGTTTAAATTATATTATAAATAAAAAATTTTATTTTCTACGTAAAGTTTTTTGTGAGGCGAACACTTGACGCCTTTTTCCTTTATTAAAAATTTGAAAACTAGAAATACATTTAACAGTATAGATAATGAATTAAACGTTTTTATTTGATAATTCCTACAAGAGATCGGTTTTTTAAAAGACATTATACTGAATTAATCAAAAAGTTGTACAACTAACCCGGTAACACACTCCTTTAGTGGGAATTTTCATGAACTAAATTTCACGGTAAACATTAATAGATATCTAAATAATTTTATTTGTTGCACTTTAAGATGGTATGATTTCAAGCCCTAAAAATATTAATATAACAGAGGCGGCATTAATAATAAATATAGCATTGAAAGAATGAATATAAAAGAAAACAGAAAAAATAGCAGATAGTGAAATAAAATAAGAAAAAAAAGAGTACGTGATTAACGTTCTGTTTTTAAATCAGTCGTAAGCGGTTTCAACTAATTTGTATTATTTTATTAATATCTTATGAAATAAATTATTATACTCTGGTATTATATGTTTATTTTATTTTAATAATTAAACATAAAATAACCATCAGAAACGCAAATACAGCACATCCGTATGCACCCCTTTTAAGAAAATATATGTACAATATCTTGTTTATATAATAAGCAATAAAATGCAAGCGCATCACTTCTCAACTTCAGTTCTATTTTTAACCTATTGGTAACTCAACTGTTTTTATTTTCTAAGTAGAATTGCTTGTACGAAAGCAAATTATACGGAACTGTAATATAACTTTGACATTATGTATTTTTCCTCACTTGTAATGCAAGTAGATGTTTGATTAGATAACACACAATTACGTGAAGAAAAATTACACCATCAATTTTATACATATTTGCGTTAGCAGATATATTTACCTTATAAATAGTTTCATTCGGAGTTATCATTTTCTTGTTACAAATGTCAAATGTTTATGGCATTTTGGAAGCATATTGTGAAAGTCTTTCTAATGATGAATTAAGTCTGCGCGTGTACATGCGAGTTTAAATCTTGAAAGAAAAATAATTTCTTCGAGTATAAGAGACTCAAAATTCAAGATTGTATACTATATACTGATATTAATCAGACTCGTTGCAATTGAAAATTCGTATAAATATTATGATATAACTGTGATGATCGGACGTAATTGGTATGTCTTTCATATACGAATTTGAACCCTTCATACATGATTCTTATATCAAATTTACGGTAGGGTTTCTTCAAAAAGATATGAAAAAAATACTCTTAATGTTAGAAAAAAATAGTTATCTGATTAATTTTATTTTTGCAACTATTAGTACTAAAATAAAAAATTATAGTAACAAATCTGTTAATCGTAATCATGAAAATAAAAATAATATTATTAATGATAGATATTTTACTGGAACATATGTGAAGACTACTTCCAAAACATTTTTTCCCGTTGCAACGGATATTAATAAATTCCTCATAAATACGGATGAATTTTATATTTGCGTGTATTCGCATATATGGATATGCTTTGCTTCATTATGCATGTGTGCGTGAAATGTATATATGAGAAAGATTAAAAATCAGATATGTGAAACAGATTGCGTGCAGTCATCTTGAATAGAGGCAGAAACACGCATTACTAAACTTATCTCCTCAAGATATGTTCTGATATATTGCTAGTACTGAAAACCTATAGTTTACATTACGCATAGGATGCGTTTCACTTAACGCCTATAACGCTCGCGAAATCATTTTATCCTCGTTATTTGTCAAATGCCAAACAAGGAAAAACGGTGCTCGTGAGCATTACAAGTGTTTCGTGGAACGCAGCCATACTGTAGATTTTCTATATAATATATAATTTTATAAAAATTAATTTCACTGGAATCCAATTTTCTATGTAATTAGTGCAAGAGCTTTTGTAAATGCTCATTAATTATTTATTTTCAAGCGAATATCTATACAATTACAGTATCTTTCTACATTTGTATGCATATAATAATATAATTTTATTCACTGTACATTCATCTCAATCATCTTCTTCTTCGTCTGGTTCTTGTAAATGATCTAGTTTAAGTTCTTTCGAACGATTGACCTTAATCACTGGACGATTCTGTTTACATATCCTCTTTGGTTTCTGTCCAATCACATATTCTGGCAAGATAATCTTACTACTTTTGAATATAGGTTTGTCATCTGATTCTTCCATTATCTCTCTCGTTCGTGGTTTTTTAAATGTAATCTGTGATGATGATGCAGTATTCTTGAACTTAAATCGTGTCTCTGTAGAATTTGATTCACAAGTCTCAACGTCCATTTCTTCCCCATGTTCCTCAATTTCCTTTTTCTTCCTGCGAGCCTTCAACTCTCGCAAAAATGACATAGCAGCCTGTGTATTACTGCGTTCAGTCATGTCTTCGCTGGATACATCATCCAGAGAATATTTGACCCATTTGTGCGGATTTCTGTGATAGTCTGGAATATTTCTGAAATTCGTGCGTGGCGCTGGACCTTCTGGACGCTTAAAGATACTCTCCTTGCCGCTAAACCTCTTTGTTTCTCTCTTCTGCCTTCGGTCATCGCTTGAAGCTGACCTTTTCCTTCGTTCGTCCATTGCCGTATCGTCCATCTCCGGTTTGTCATGTTTATTGCATTTGCTTTCCGCAATCGAGAGCTGATCGAATAATGCCTGCTGTCTGTTGGCGAACGCTGCATCACCACCGCGTAGAGTAAAATTAGTTGAAGTATGCATTTCAAAAATAGTGAGGCTTCTTGGCTACAATTATTCATTTTACAAATTTATCATGTTTTTTAAAATAATGAATGCACATTAATTATGACGTATTACAAACCTCAAAGTCAATTGACTCGGCTTTGTTAGGTTATATTGACGTTTTGTTTTTCGCAACAATAATATTTCTGCAATATTGCAGGAATGTTTTGTGATGAATCGATTTTCGTTGATTGCAAATAAATAATAAGCAGAATCAATTTTAATTCTGCAATTGGAAAAACGTAGAATAACTTTCTTCGTCCATTGAATCTATTCTGTCTTGTTCTGTCTATTCCTCGGTTCTCTCTGCACTTTTATTTTCTCTCTTTGTCTTCCTAAATATCTGGAACGTCTATTGTGATCTTTCTCATTTCAAGTGCAGAATAGTGCAAAAAATTACACAGAATAGGTCTGTTCTGGTGCACCGTGTGCACCAGTTCAGATAATACAGAAACAAAGAACAGATCTTTGTTTTTTCTAACCTAACCTTAGCCTTAGCTGTCCAGCATGAACTGCACGAGCGGGAACGGTTATGTCAATTTCGAATGGTAAATGACGCAGTTTGTATAAACGTTCTGCTTATTACTCGCAGGAATCAATTTAATACATTGACAACACTGTAACGTATCTGATCCGACAAAATGAGTAAACGTTTGAAGCTGACTGGTCTTTCGGCATCGAGAACTTTACGTTCAGGTAAAACCCTCGTTAACGCGGATTCCTCGGAGAAAACCTCACCCTACTTCGTCGGTGAAAAGAAAAGATTGGCGAGGACCATCACAAAAAAACATATACCGATTAAAATTGAGCATGAAGTGGTGGAGGACGATGAAATGAATGTCAAAGAATCACCAGGAAAAAGTGAAGATGTGTCGACAAATATAAAAGATATAAAAACTGAAAAATATGAGATAAAGAACGAGAATGTGGAACAATTAGCAGACCCAAAGTACGTTAAGAATGAGAAACAGTGGATGCCATCGAATTGGGAGATTATTCTTGAAAATATTAAAGAAATGAGAAAGAGTGAGACAGCTCCAGTTGATACAATGGGTTGTCACAAGTGTACAGATCCTGATGCCAGTCCCATAGTGTCCAGATATCAATCGTTAGTAGCTCTGATGTTGAGTAGTCAAACAAAGGACCAAGTCACCCATGCTGCTATGCAGCGTTTGAATACTTATGGATGTAAACCAGACATTATAGCAGCTATCCCTGACGATATTCTAGGCAAACTTATATATCCAGTTGGATTTTGGAAAGTAAAGATCAATGCTTATTTATTTACAAGATATTTTTCACCTTTAAACTTCTTCGCATATTTATAAATCTATTTATTATTCATTTACAAAACTTGTATTTCTTTTTAGTAATTTTTAATTTATGTTTATATTATGTTGAACTGTTAAGTAACTTGTAATTATATATATTTTTTATAAATTTTCTTTCAAGTTTATAATTAATGATTTTTTTAATCAAAAATCTTTTCTTTTTAGAAAAAAGTAGAGTTTATAAAAAAGACATCAGTGATCCTTCTAGATAAATATGGTGGCGACATACCGAAAACAGTAAAAGAGTTGTGCGAATTACCAGGAGTAGGTCCTAAAATGGCTCATCTATGCATGCGAACTGCCTGGGGAGAAGTATCCGGTATTGGTGTGGATACACATGTTCACAGGATTGCCAATAGATTAGGATGGGTGAGGAAGCCGACCAAAACACCAGAGCAGACGAGAAACGAGTTGGAGGATTGGCTTCCTAAGCCTTTATGGAGTGAAGTAAATCATCTCCTTGTAGGATTTGGTCAAGAAACTTGTCTACCTCGATTTCCTAAATGTTCGGAATGTCTCAACAAGGATATTTGTCCGTTTGCTTCAAAAGGTGGAAAAACAAAGAAGTGATAATGCAAGTTTATGTATACAATACTGATTACAAAATATATTTATTTTACATTTGTGCAATTAATTTATCAAATTTCCTAGTGTCTGGATTTCTTTTTACTCTTGCCACGTTTGTGCATTAACTTCTGTGGTTTCTTCAATTTTTTTCTATTTTGTTTTATGTTTCTGTATCGTTCTTGTCTTTGCTTTTGTTGAAATACTTTACTTCTTTTTATGTGTTTCAACGCTGTTCTCTTTATTTCTTGTTTTAATTTTTTCGCAGATTTTATCTCATGACTGTTGGATGTAGATTTTGACTGCACTTCAGTCTTACATTTCTCTTGCAATGACATTCCCACAATCTCATCAACATCGTCGTTATTACAACTTTTGTCACTTTCGTCATTTTCTTGCTCTTCTTTTTCTTCTGCAATTTTGTTTTCACCTATCCATCTTTTTCCTTCTGCAAGGTCTGCAACGTTCAACTCTAAAATACTAACTGTATGACTGCCTAGATTAAATTCTTGTTGAGATAACAATTCTTGCAGCTCTGGGACAACTTGATTTGATAATGATTTCTTATAACGTTCTCGTGTCTAAAAAGAAACATTATACTTTCTCTAATTCTTCAAAAAATACCATCTTAAAAATAACATGTGACTTACTTCTTGTTTAATTTTCTTTCGTTCCTCCTTGAGTTGTTGCTGTAACTGCTCCTGTGCCTTCCTCTTTCGTTCTAGCTTCCTCTTACGAAATCCTCCTAAAAATTCTCTGTTTTTGGGTGAATATAAATTAATTTGTTTCAACAATATGCAAGTACATGTCAACTACATATAATTTTGCATAATAATTACCGTCGTTTCTCCTCATCGAAGACAAGCGCGATCTTCCTTCGCCTCATGGTCATAACACTAATGGCACATGGCACATTCGAGATTCGATACATATGCACTGACACGGTTCTCGTGCTGCCCTGTCACGGTGCGAGTGCAAAACTACATTGGATTGATTTGACCTATCTTGGTGCAGTAGGTGCAGCATTATTAATGGGGATGGGAACGGCGAGTGTTATTGAAACTAATATAAAAATATTTTTATTATAAAATTTGTTATTATATGTATTTGTTTTTTATCATATATAATTAATTAATCTTCTATTTCATCATCACTACTACTTGTTTCTAATAATTCATCTATAATAAATAATTTATTAGGCCCTGAGCACAATGGAGGAAATATTCGGAAGAGGAATAGATATTATGATATTAATATTTTAACCTATTAGATACCAATTACACTGGAATATACGATTTGTGTGAAAGAGATAGGTTAAAATCTTAATATTTAATCTTAATATTTTCTCTATTGTGCGTAGCCTTAGGTTGGGTCCACAATCTCGTTTTAAGAGGCCCTAAAACCGTAAGAAATTGACCAATCATAGTTAAATGTGAGAAGAATAATAGACTGTAATTGGTCAATTTCTTAGGGTTGGATTATACTGGCCGTAATCTGTTAACTTATGCTGTAATCTGTAAAAATTGACCAATTATAATCGATTATTCCTCTCTCATTCGACTGTGATTGGTCAATTTTTACAGATTACGGCATAAGTTAACAGTTTACGGCCAGTATAAATCAACCTTTACTCTTCCAGCCTTATTACCACTACTACTTACTGCCGTTGTAGACGGCTCTTTATACCTTACATACATTTCTAGCAATCAATGAAAACATGACACCATAAGCCGCCATGTTGTCGCGGTTATTTAAATTAGACATTATTATTTTAGATGACATTATTTTACTTTTATATTTGTAATTATATTACAATCATGTTACAACATACAATATAATAAATTTGATTTTTTCTATAATTTAATTTTTAATTTAATTTAATTTTTGTCTTTAATTTAATTTTCCACAAACTTAAATTTTGTCATAAAATCAGTAAACAATCTAAAGATCTGTCTTCTTATTTATATTAAGACAGACAATTAGAATTAGAATTATCTAGTTCTAATTTAGCTTAAAAGGAGAAACTTCTTAGCTGCGAACATATAAGTAATACTAGATTTATTATTAATCACACATACATTGAAAATATAGATTACAATTTTGAATGTAACAATATACTGTTTAGAAATTATATATATATATATATATAT